GGAGGGGGGGGGGGGGGGGGGGGGGGGGGGGGGGTTGATTGATCTAGTCAATCAATTACAAAAGCAAGTCTTCTCTACAATTCGGTTCATCTGATACTCAAAACATTACTAAGTCATAAACTCCTGTCTCCTCATGTCATTCCTCCGGAGGCCAATTCTGCCCAGCATTCTCACTGATATCAATGTGATAGCCATAAACAAACACATATTGCTTCAGTAAGCCAAGACCAGGCAGGTCAGACAGTCAACCCATGATCCCAGATCAACCCAGCTGAAGAAAAAAAAGATGTAGGCTATTGCTTTCCAGATAGAAGAGGTTATGTCATCCATACCTCTGTCGATCTACTTCAACGTCTAAGCTTCTTTAAACAGTCTTTATAAAGTAGTAATAATAATAAACTACATATAATAATATTGATTATGAGTGTATTTACATGTGCTTACTTGCATAGACCATAAGATGCAATATTAACGAATTACAAAAATAGTGCAAATCAAACTGTTTACCGCAATTTAATAATCCTTGTACATAATATATTAGTTCTAATTGCGGTATGGTCCACAAAAACAACAACAACAATTTTGCAAATTACGATATGCGTATAGTTATACAGTATATAATAAATATCCATCGCATAATAAAACATAATATTGATGTGTATCACTTGACGGAGACTCACCTGGATCCGCCACCGAAATTACACACACAGCTTTACCTGTGATTTTCCCATATTCCACATACGCGCTGCATTTTGGACTGACTTCTAGACGGAGCACAGTCTTCCTACGCGCATAAGAGTGGGAAAAGCCAAATACAAAGTCACCCTGTTGACACCGCAGTGCTTCTGAGTCTCCAGTTGCACACTAACAGCCCTGAACTGAGGCTGCAGGGACAGGGAGAGTCTTGAGGAGTGGCATACAGGCGACGACGTTACATCACACACACATTACCTGCCAGTGGCGCGGTGTGTGTAACAACTGCAAACCACTCGAGTAAAGCTCGTCAATAGATGTTCGTCTAAACGCCTTGTTTGGAAGTTTAAAAATAGTGTAATGTCTGAAAAACGACGGACAAAGGAGACTCCGTTTCTGAACTTTAGTTTTTAAACGTTTACAAAACATCAACAAAACTGATGAGTTTCAGCGATGACTCATTTGAACGCCTCTGATTGGCCATTGCATTCCTAAGCTCAACAGAATTGTGTGTGATTGGTTAAAATGCGCAACACCGTAAAAACGCCTAAAATGAAATACGGTGCAACATGAGCAGATCTTAATTTAATGCCACAATCGACAGTCTATTCATATTCATTTTGTTAGCAATAGACGTAATAGATTAAATTTTTGTCCAATTTAGGGGCAAAAATGCCACTAAATTGGACAAAAATTAAATCTATTAAGTCCCCAGGCCACAGCCTTAAAGGGATAGTTCACCCAAAAATGAAAAATGTATGTTTATCTGCTTACCCCCAGGGCATCCAAGATGTAGGTGACTTTGTTTCTTCAGTAGAAGAAGAAACAAACGCCAGAGCGCGAACACACCTCACGCACCGGATGCCGTGCGCGCGCTCAAAGACAGTTGGACATAGTGGTGTATTAGAGGTAAAAAATGATATAAATACTGTTTGGTTTCTGGCACAAACCGATCGTTTCGTGTCTTAGGACATCAATGTGTCGTCACGAGCCGCAGGGTTTAATTTGGATTTGTCTGTGCATGCATTTTTTACTCTCATAGATTTTGTTACCATTGCCATGAGTTATACGACTGATAGACTGCAACGGTTGGACTTAAAAATCTTCATATGTGTTCTACTGAAGAAACAAAGTCACCTACATCTTGGATGCCCTGGGGGTAAGCAGATAAACATCACATTTTCATTTTTTGGTGAACTATCCCTTTAAGCGCGCCGCCTATGGCTATACAGTCATATAGAAAAAAAGACCAAAAGACAGGTATGCCTACAAACAGACAGATAGCTAGATAGACCGTGTGTTACTAAGTGGTTGCTGAGGTAATCTGAGGGGTTGCTAGTGAGGTTCTGGGTGGTTACTATTCTTGGCGTGTTCTGGATTGTTGGTAGATTGTTCTGTCTTTTTGATAGGACTAGTGGCTTTCAACCAGAGGGCCGGGGCCCACAAGAGGGCCTTAGCAAACTCCCAAAGGGACGCAAGACCTTATTTTAATTCACCCCCTCAGCAACTTTAAAGCAACTCTTTTTTCTTTAAATAATCAGCATTCCCACTTTCTTGAAAACCTTGAATATATGAGGAGTATTTATATTTATAACATTTAATATTTATAAATCTATTTAAATGTGTGATTTCTAGACCTTGGTCTAGAAAAGTCATGCATGAACAGAATCTTATAATTCCGTAGGCATTTTAGAATTAATTAAATCAGATATTTTGGGTAAACATATTTGTAAAAAAAAATCCTTATCCTTCCTTATTTAGTGAATCAAGAAAAACTGAAAAAGTCATTTTCATATTGTGGGCAGTGGGGGGCCTTGGAGTTCAAAAAGAAAGTTGACAACAGCTGTAGGGTGTTCAGAACGGTACGCATGGTGACAGATTACAGAGGACTAGCCTAATTTTCGTGCGAAATAATAATTGAAAAGCATGACTTTTCTCAACCTCCGTCATTTATCATAGGTATATATATATATATGATTTGGCTACAAGAACATGCTTCCGTTTAAGAACTCGTTGAGCTGCTCAGGAGAGAGATGAACACCTTCCTCTTTGTTAGACATCAGGAAGTGATGCATACACACACACACGCACGTATGTTTTGAAAGCTGGATTTCCCCACCTCAGTCAGTGTAGCGAAGAATTAATGTATTGCTTAATAATGGGATACATGTCAACATCTGATCCGTCTGCGGTATGTGCGCTCGATGTTTACACTCTTCCTGATATTGCCTTTTTGTTCGTGGTGAATTCTGATCTGTTTTTTTTAATAACGTGTTTGTATGTTTACATTTAGAAATTCGAACAGATGAGTAACTGCATTCGAAAATAAAAAGCGGGAATGAATGGCGTTGCCTACTTAGTTTACATTCATCACATACAATATAACACATAACACATATTCGGTGGTTGACAAAAACTGTAAAAAGTGAAACTATCGAGTGTCTTGAAGGTAGTTCACCTAAACTGCTTCCTTCATTTACTTATCTTCTTATCGTTTCAAAACCGTTTGACGTTCGTTCTTCTGTGGAACATAAAATAACATATTAGGAAGAATATGACATTCTCAGTCTTCCATTGCAAATTTTCCATACAGTGAAAGAAAATATTCATGACTTGTGCTGTCATTCTGTCTTCTCATTAATTTGAATTCCACGTAAAACATAAAGTTATTCAGGTTTGGAACAACATGAAGGTGAAATCATGAAAGAATTTAGTTTTTGAGTGGCTTTTCCATTTAAGGAGCTATTTTCACTTACCTGACCCCTTAAAAACTTTAGCTGGAGCAACCAGGTTTTTTTGGGGGGTTTTTTTTGTATGTGTGTGTGTGTGTTCTTTTTTTAGGGGGACTGTCATAATTTTACCCTGTGTGTATTTGAACATTTTGAATATCACTATTTTAGGCTAAATATTACTTCGTCACAATCAGTGTTTTAATTTCAGCAGTTAATTTCATAGTCATTGGGGCATTAATGAAATTTTTTAAAAGTGCCATGTTTTTTATTAATATTTATTTTTTACATATTTTTTAACGTGACACCTCAGGACACTGATTGAATTGCCACTTCAATGTCCCATTTTGCAGGTGCTTTGCTGAACATTTAAATCTGAGCTCAACCAATCACAGTTGTGTATCAGCCGTTTTCCTCAATCATGTCGGATTTGAATGACAACTCTTTGAACATAAATTTCTTGAAAGAATCTGTGTTGAAGAGGCTCTGTGAGTCTCTTGACAAGGCCAACAAGCATATGAGTTCAGTCACTGGGCCCAAGTAGATGTCCTCGATGTTCCACCAAGATATGGTAAGTCATTTGTGATCAGCAGAGACAAGTAAGAAATTTGGTTGAATTGTCTTGATTGACATGATATGCCACTGATATCAAACTTGATGCTTTTTGATCAGGATTAATGTCTCTGGCTTCAGAGGGCAGGCCAAGGGTGCTGATCCAGCCTCAACCTCAAAGGCTGCTGGTGGGAGATTTACTCTATCTGGAGTGCGGAGCTATTGGAAGACCCCTACCGCAATATCAATGGTACAGAAACGGAGTGCCGATCAAAAAAGCCACTAAGAGGATGTACACTGTAAGAGGACCAACAGATGACACATTTTTGGATAAATTCACTGTTGTTCACTTGGTTAGATACATTTAATTTCTGAGACAGCTTGGATGAAGTAGATTTAAAAAAAATTCTACACTGAAAAAGAAACAACTCAGAAAATCCTTGCAAGTTTCACAAATAATTACAAAGAAACGACAGGTAATACATTGAATTAAACATGAAATTATGAAGTGGAAAGACTGAAATTATATTTTCTTGTAAAATGTACTCCAATATCTTTGTATTATTTTCAACTGTCAAAAGTCTACATTTTTACAATGTAGTGAGAGATTTTTTTTTTTTAAATCAGGTCAAGAATTTGTTGCCAGAGCACCAGGGAAGGTATCGCTGTGAGATCTTCTGCAGTAATGAACGAACATGGAGCAATGAAGTGGATGTTGTTGTTGTTGTTGTTGTTATAGGTATGCATCATATCTTTTGTTTTATATTTATTCTTTGGTTAGATGTTTTCTGATCAAATCTGAACAGTAGTTACTTAAAGGCACAGTTCACCCAAACATTTAAATTCTGTCATTTACCCACCCTCAAGTTAGTTGCTGGTCCCCATTGACTTGGATGATTTTTTTTCTTTTCTCCATATTTTGGAAGTCAGTGAGGACCAGCAACTGTTTGGTAAAACTCTTCTTTTGCCTACAGCAGAAGAAAGAAACTCATACAGGTTTGGAACAACTTGAGGGAGAGTAAACGACAGAATTTTCATTTTTGGGTGAATTTTCATTTTAAGGCTGGAATACATTACACGACTTTAAAGATTTTAAAACACTATGCGTCATACACTTGCCGACTTTGCAAATGGTTACAGAGAAATCTGGTCATCATACACTAATCGACTGTGCATCACACACTCAAGTTGTTCGGAAATGCAGAAACGTGTTCCCTGTTGCTAAAAGACGCATGACATATAAAAACAATATGTGCTCTAAATTTGGCTTAAATCTTATCTTCCGATTATATGAAATCATAATTGTATAAAACCCAATATATGCATACTGGCTCACAACACATTAACGTGTCATGTTTGAATATGTACTAGATGTGCTAATATTGCAGTAATGAACGTGCACAATATTATTACTGTAGGCACTTTAAAATACTCAGAATAATTCTATACACTTTATTATCTGATTTTAGATAATCCTTATTATTGTGTCGATTTTTAGAATGCAGATTAGCTTCTTTTCCAACACTGTGTGTATGCAACATAAAAATGTATTCAGCTTTTCGTAATGGTCTTGAGCAAAGACAGCGGACGAGCTACATGAAAATGCTTAATATTTATTTAAATACTTAATATTTATTTTGAATCATTTGTTTACACATTTCTAACTGGACTAAAACATGCAAGCCAGAAAAGATCTTGATATTGGTTACAATTGTTTTCTGTTCTTTTGCACTTTAATCAGTTTGAAACATTTGTTTACTCTATACATATTTATTATGCAATGCTTTATTTAAATGTTCAAGTTCTTTTTAAATGTAAATGTTCAAGTTCTTTTTTTAAGTTGTTGAACTTGTTTTTAATAGAATAACACTGAAGTTTGTTGATCTTTTCAGCCTGTTTTTGTAATTCAGTGCAATACCGTATACTGTGATAAATGTTTCAGCACTCATTGTGATACGTAAATTTGATACTGTCACATGACCGATATGTACACAAGTTCAAATTGACATCTTCAGCCAAGAGAAAGCTTTTGGTTTGGGTAAATGTTTGGTTAATGCTTCATGCAAAGCTATCATATGACTTATGTAATATAGTAAATGCGTCAAACTGAGCTTCTTTTATTGTACTTTTTTGGAGGTTGAAAGTGTGATTCACTATCCACTTTCATTGTGTGGAAAATAACAGACAATACACTCTGTAAAATATCTTCTATATATTATTTAGTGTTCACCAGAAGAAAGTCATACAGGTTTGGAATGACATGAGAGTGAGTAAATGATGTCAGAATTTTCTTTTTTAATGAAATGACTCTTTGACGATTGCTCCTCCCTTTAGGTTTGTTGTATTATGCTGGACATGGTTATGAGAACTTTGGGAACAGCTTCATGGTGCCTGTTGATGCCCCAAATCCATACCGTTCAGGCAACTGTCTCTGTGTTCAGAGCATTCTGAAACTGATGCAGGAGAAGGAGACTGGACTCAATGTCTTCCTCCTCGACATGTGCAGGAAAAGGTGTGCATTTTGTGGTTTTATATCATATTCGCATTGGGAATTCATACATTGGTTGTCATCATTCTAACACTAATTTATTGCTTCAGAAATCTACATGACGATGCCACACCAAATGTTGTGCTCAAAGTTACAGCCAATATTGTGTTTGGATATGCCACGTGAGTTACTGAGTGTCTTTCTTTTTCATCCAGAAATAACATGCTGAAGTACATTTTGTTTACTTTCTGACAAGTTATGTTGAGATGTATTATATTTGCGAAGTTGCCAAGATGCTGAGGCTTTTGAACTGAGTTCAAGTGGATTCACCAATGGAGTCTTTATTAAATTCCTGAAAGAGCGCCTCCTAGAGGATGAGAAGATAACTGTTTTGCTAGACAGTGTGGCTGAAGGTGAGGGAACCTTGAGCATGTTAAAGTTAAATGAAGCGTTACAGCGTTTATTAGTTGAATGCAGGTCCATTAAGCTCAAACCAATGATTAACTTATTTGAAAAGTGTACTACTACTTTCAGTACTTTTTTGCACTTTGACTACTACTACAAAGATTAATTTTAAATATTAAAATAAATAAAATTATATTTCATCTACTCATGTTTGGTTGCATGTCTTGACAATCAAACTACTGTTCTGATTGTTTGTAGATATGGGTCAGTTTGACCCCACAAAGGGTAAGCAGGCTCTAGAGATCCGCAGCAGCCTGTCAGAGAGACGGTCCCTCACCGATCCCATCCACCCCGGGGACTACTCCGATGCAGCCGAGGCACACAACCTGCTCTGGTCTAAAGCACATGGTAATGTCAGCTACTTCACAATATTGTGCAACTCATTTGAATAACCATATAAAATAGGTTCACATTTTTTTGTCAAAATTAAATCTATACAAAAAAGTTTTGTTAATAAAAATAACATTTTTCATGATGATTACTAGTAATGAAAATATTATAATATATTTATGTAGTATAATTTTATATTATATCTAATTTTATATATTATTTAATATTATATATTCCGTTTTAAAACATTATTAAATTAAGTAACAATTGTATTTATAAAAAAACATATATATATATATATATATATAAGTTATTTCTTCCTCACCATATTTTCATCAACAGTGTTTTAATTGAAATCATTTAATTATTATCATGAAGCATATTTTTCCTCATTTCCATAATTGTTGACAATACCAAAAAAAAAACTGGATCAAACTTATATTTTCATTTCATCTTATTTCGTCATGACATGATTCTTATCATAGGGGGCCTCTATCATATTAACAAATTATAGTTTTTGACGAGTGAAATACTATAGTACGGTAAATGTAGTTTTTCTCAGCATTTGTCAAACTTTTGCATTTGTGTTTCAACCCAGAACTGCCGGAGAGTAAAATTCTGGACTTTGAATGTGGAGTTCAGATAAAAATGGACTTTGCTGCTGAGTTTTCCAATGTGCTGGTCATCTACACCAGCATTGTGAAAAAGCCAGAAGAGATGCTGTCTTGTCAGGCACACATAACTAACCTCCCTTTGGTTAGTGGTCTTTGTTTTTATTTTGGAGAAAGAAACTGCAATTATTCTTAATCACTACCATTAAAAGATGCGGGGTCAAAAAAGAAAGAACACATTAAATGGATCAAAAGCAATAATAAAAAATGTGTTACATACAATTTCTATTTAAAAATGCTGTTCCACTGAACTCTATTCATCAAAGAATGTATCACATTTTCCACAAAAATATAATAATAATATAATAATAAGAAATGTTTCGTGATCAGCAAATACGCATATATGAATGATTTCTGAAGACTGGAGTAATGACTGCTGAAATTTTAGCTTTGCCATCACAGAAAAATGCATTAAAATAAAAAACAGTCATTGTAAATTGTAATAATATTTTAAAATATTACAGTTTTTACTGTATATTGTGAGCAGATAAATGCAGCCTTGGTGACCATAAGAACCTTCTTTCAAAAATATTTAAAAATCCTAACTTTTGACCAGTAGTGTATACAGTGGGGCAAAAAAGTATTTAGTCAGCCACCAATTGTGCAAGTTCTCCCACTTAAAAAGATGAGAGAGGCCTGTAATTTTCATCATAGGTATACCTCAACTATGAGAGACAAAATGAGGAAAAAAAACTTTTTTTCCCCACTGTATCTGCAGAAATCAATGTACAATACTAATCAGTCTAATTATTTAGCTGCACAGTTTTTTGTTGTTGTTTTTTTTTAAATAATTGGACTAATAGCATTCTTGTCAATATTCCATATTGCCTATATATAAAACATGAAACATGTTTCTTAACATATGTTTGCAATAAGTAATGTTTTTCCTATTACCTGACTTTGAAGGATCTGGATGTGGACCCTAAGCTGATGAATAAAGAAACTCTGGAGGAAACAGGAAGCTTCCTACTTTCAGGGAGTCTTCCTCAGCACTGCCTCTACACCAGACTCGGCTCACTGCAGAAACTTAAGGTACAGCTCAAGACTGACTGACAATATTTCTTTAGATCTGATTTACAATACATATATAATTCAAAACTTCCTTGATACCTATTTTTCCTTCTTCCTGGTTTACAGGAGGAGCTAGCTTTCACTGTCTGCCTACACATCCAGTTTAACTCCCTAGACGACCTGGTCCAGTGGAACATGGACGTTAACGTCGGCAAGCCCCTCATTGCCAAACTGGATCTCAACCGTCCCACCAGGAAGAACAGCTGTCAGCTGACGTGTCACATGCCGCACAGCCCCTCGACCAGCCCCAGCCACAGTCCCGCGTCTGACCGCCGCTTCCACAGCCAGGGCCCCCAGCAGCACACCAACCCCTACCTCAACGTCTGTGAGCCCCTCCACGGAGCTGTAGGGGGTTATGGGGACTTTCGATTGTACGGTGACCATACATATCAATATGAGAATATGCCATGCTTACCCTTCCTGAACCCACCAAGTATTCCCATTGAGACCACTGATGACATTGACGACATGCAGAATGAGTTCATGAATAGTTTGCAACTCTATAACCATCCCTGAGTGAATACACAGCGTTAAACCAATGATTAAAGGGATACTCCACACAAAAATGAAAATTCTCATCATTTAGCCATTCCAGATGTATATGACTGACTTTCCTTCAATGAACAAAAATCCATCTCTGAGTCTATATAATGGAAGTGTATGGGATCACCAAAGTTGGCACTTCAAAAATTAAAAACCACATAAAGTGAACTTGATGGCAATCCATCTGACCCCAGTTATGGAAGCAATAGTTTAGTTAAAGTTAGTAAATATTAGTGTTTTTCTCATATACTTGTGGTGTTTTGCTTCAGAGAACATTGATTCATCAACTGGGGTCGTATGGATTACTGTCGTGTTTGCTTTTTGAAGCATCGGCTTTGACAAAAAGTCTAAAAAGTTGTCGAAAAAGTCATACATCCGGGACGGCATTAGAATGAATAAATGATGAGAAAAATGATCATGTAAGGTGGAGTACCCCTTTAAAGACTGTGTAGTTAGTATATTAAATGTCAAGGATGTATTTTATTTCAATTTTTTTAAAGATTTTATTTTTTTATTATTATGATAGGACAGATCAGATGTAGCGAAGGGAGAGAGAGAGGGGGGTGGGATTGGGAAAGGTCCTCGAGTCGGGATTTGAACTTGGGACAGCTGTTAAAATGTTGTCTGTCGATTAATGACCACTTTATAAATCAACTAAAATTAATTATTTCATACATTGATCGCATTCTTTTGCATTTGCATTTAGTGGTGATTGTAATGCAAAAATGTATCATCTCAAGTGATTGTCTCATCTCTATCAGTTTTCAGTCTTTACTTTCATGTGACTAACTTATTACGGCACCTTCAAAATATTTTAGCGTAAAGAAAATACTGTAGCACTGATACTGTAAGTATTTAGTCCTTTAAAATGATAATTTATCTTAAAAATCCTGTCACCTTATTACATCTCAATACGTCTCTTTTTTTCATATAGATTTTAAACATTTAGAAAAATCTTTATTTTTAAACAAAAAGTGCATAAATCAAATGTCATGATTATCTTCTAGTATGTAGATATTGGTCATAACTCTGACTTTGTAATGTAAGATTACTCAATGAGAAGGTCAGTCACAATTTGATAAAAAAAATAAATCAATAAAAACAAACAATTGATTAAAAAGAAAAACAAGAAACCAAACAAAAGAACTCTGAATAAATTTCTGAACAATGACATTCATCTCTTGTGTGATCAATATTTCTCAGGAAATGGAAACTTAATAGTTTCACTGCATAAGCAAATGCTTGTCATCAAGACGTTAGGCAACTAGATGACTTTGACTTCCTCTACACATTACATAAGAGTGCACTTCTCCTCAGCCTTGGATTTCATCTCCACAAATGTGGCATGAGCCTTTTCTTTGAGCTGCCCCATATCCATGTTCTGAAGGTTCTGCATTTGACCCATGATGGACTCCTTTTCCTCCTCCTGTGGCGCCTCTCCATCCACCATCTTGATCAGTTCTTCTGGCACGTCAATGTCATCTCCGGCCTGCTGGATCATAATCTCATCCTTTGCTCATATATGTAAGGATTACACACCCAGAACCCATAGTTTGCAGACATGCCTCAAGCATGACTTTAATAAATAAAACAGAGCATGAGGAGATTTGACCTATTCAAACTACTTCAATAAATAGTCACATTGCTTCTCAGGATGCTGATTTGATACTTATTTGTTTTCTTTTTTAAATGATTAAAGTGTTGATTAGAGCAGGCAATATTTTTGTTTTTATTTTGTACAGATACTGGCCATACCTGTGACACTTTTTTACTTACAGTAGTTTAGCGAGCCAGTTTGATTAGGAACAATGAAAAATAAAAACAAGTCATTAAATGAAATAATAAGAAAGCATTCTTTGAAATAAAGGAATAGTAAATATGTTCATTATTAAAAAAAAATACCTGAAAGTTTTTTATGATTTAAGTTGATTTTTTAATTATTATATGTATTTTATGTATATATAATTAATAGTTTCTTTAAAGAGAATTTTATGTCATCGGAGAATAGAATAATTGATCATTTTCAAATTTATGAAGGCCTTGTGTAGCATAAAAAAAGGACTAGGCTATTTATTTATTTACTTAAGTTTGTTTAATAATAAGTACAGTTGCCTCTGTGATTATTAATGATGATAATTAACTTATTATAAAATTAACATTCATTTCGGGAAAAAAATTTGATTTAACACTTCAAATGCCGAATATATGGTTACAGCTTTGCAAAATGTTAATAGTTTATTTCTATACTAACCTTAAGTGTGCACTACATTAATTGAATTGCATCTCTGTGACTGTAGATTTTATATCGATGGTTCAAAACCAGGGAGCCAGGGCCACTATATAGGGGGCCTTAGCAAACTTCTAAGGGGGGCACAGAATTACCCCCATTTAATTTCAAATTAGACAAAAGTTGTAAAAGAAGCTAAACCAACTAAAAAATAAATCAATTTTCTTATAGGTAACCTAGCCTAGAGGTAACCTAATTATAAATGTGACTTCTAGACCTGGAAAAGCCATGTAAAATAATAACTCCATTTTCATTTTTATACATTTTCCCTATGGAGTTCAACTTCTCTCTTCATCCACATGAAACTGCACACAGTTTGACAGCTCTACAGCAGTGCTGTCAAAGCTCACTTTAGGGATTAAGCACTGCAGGTGGTTAAGCCCTGAACATCCAGACTCACTATTTTAGTTTACTACATTATGCCTTAATCTCCTGCCACAATCTGCACTGCAACCTTCACACACTTGATAGCTTAACCATCTCTGCAAACTGATGCTATCCATGTGCTGCTTAAGCACAGTCAGTCAGGGACAGGAATAGCTAAATTACTGAAAGAGATTTGTTTATCTTCTCCTGGGACTCTCACCTTTGGAATTCGATATTTTTCTCTTAAACAAGTCCTCAGACAAGCCCTTTCTGCCTTTCTTGTAGCATATTCTGCATCTCTCTCCATCCTTTATTCCCAAAGAAGCAGGCAATGTACAGGAGATGAGAAAAGCACAAAGAACAGAAGTAGAAAATGAACAGGAACGTAAGCAGCAGTCAAGAACAGTTACAACAGTGTTATCAGAAAACAGCACAGTATCAGGGTACTTCATTTAATGTATACATTTAACACATTTAACATGTATTTATAACAGGGGAAATATAGGGGATGCGATTTCTTTCACCGCTCAACCAGTGCTAACATGAGTATCACATGATTCTAACATGAGTATCATGTGAAAGTTATGCTTCACATCACAAAACAATTATTAAAAATGTGTTTGAAAATTAGCTGATATATTTCAGTTTGTTCCTTGTGAATTTAATACTCACTTGAATTTACAACATTATTGAAAACCTCCTGGATAAAATAGGCTTGAATGGCCAATGTTTTTAAAAGAGTTTCAGACTTACTTTTCCTCCACCATCTGCTTCTGATACTCCTCATATTCTTCTCTGGACATTCCATCATGAGACATTTTGCTAGTTGTTCTTGTTTCTTCATCTGGCTGATCACAATGAATGAGAACTGATGCTCCTTCCAAAAAACAAAAGATACACTACTCCTTTCCTTTCCCCCCCCAATCAAGCTTTAGCTTCAGGATTGGTCTATCAGAGTAAATTCAATGAGAGGCTTTTCTGTGCGACAGCCCTGTAGTTGCATCACCAAGAACATGACCGTGGCCAAGAAAAGAGTAACCATATTCTGTCAAATTCCATCAGCAGGTATGAGCCCTTTGTTTCTATTGTCAGAAAACAGATTAATTCATCTTTTGCTCTTCATTTGCAATTTTGTCAAGGTCTTGCTGGTTAGGATAAAATGAGAATGTTTGTATCAGACACTTACAGTAATTATACACACACACACACACACACACACATGCAGTTAGGTCATATATTTTGACACAGGCACAGTTTTTATTATTTTGTCTGTTGACCAAAACATATTCAAGTTACAATGAATATTGGCTTAAAGTGCACAATCTGAGCTTTAATTTGAGGGTATTCACATCACAATTTGAGGAAAGGTTAAGGAAATACAGCTCTTTAATATGTAGTCAACAGTTTGGTTCATTCTGAGAAAAAAGAACGCACTGGTGAGCTCAGCAACATAAAAAGACCTGGACGTCCACGGAGGACAACAGTGGTGGATGATCTGAGAATCCTCTCCACGGTAAAGAAAAACCCTTTCACAACATCCAGCCAAGAGAAGAACACTCTCCAGGAGGAAGATGTGTCACTGTCAAAGTCTACAATCAAGAGAAGACTTCACCAGAGCAAATACAAGAATTCTGAAGTGTAGAGGAACATACTGTCTGCCCAGATTCAGTCAAATGCAGCAAAGCTGATTGGGTGGCGCTTCATAGTACAAGTGACCCAAAACATACAGCAAAAGCAACCCAGGAGTTTTTGAAGGTAAAAAAGTGGAATATTCTGCAATGGCCAAGTCCATCTCCTGATCTCAACCCGATTGAGCATGCATTTCACTTGCTGAAGATAAAACTAAAGGCAGAAAGACCAACAACAACTGAAGTCAGCTGCATTAAAGGCCTGGCAAAGCATGGCAAACTAGGAAACCCAGTCTCTGGTGATGTCTATTTGTTCCAGACTTAAGGCAGTCATTGCCTGCAAAGGATTCTCAACAAAATATTAAAAATGAACATTTTATTTATGATTACATTTATTTGTCCAATTACATTTGAGCCCCTGAAAATGGGGGGCTGTGTATAAAAATGGTTGTATATATCTAAGCATTTTCTATTTTTGTTCAACCCCTTGGATTAAAGCTTAAAGTCTGCACTTTGTCGCGAATCAGCTCATGGGGAAATATGAATAATTAACCATAACTAGTTATAATTAACTATTCATATTTTAGATCCACTGTAGATATTTAGCTGACCACTCAGGGTCAACTGTCTTGTCAATTCTAAGACGTTAATTTCCTGGTTAAGGGAAATAACTTTCTTACTGTACAATTCTATAAGCTTGTAACGTAAATCTGCATGATTATTCACTCCGGTTATGAGTAAACAATGAACACGTCAAGTGTGATACAAGTAAGGTTTTATTAACTACATAAACACTTAAACTAGTCCAACATACTACATAAACACATTAAGCCGGTCCAACATACACATACGCACACACACACACACACACACACA